AATTCATAGTTCTTTCAACCCTATAATTAAGTCATTAATAAAGATCTTGAAGTGATTCAGGACGCTTCTTGTTCGCTAGCCAATAAACAATTACTCTCACACCATATTCAAAGCGGAGTAATATTCCAACTGACATTTATTTTGGTTTCAATGTTACAGGTTAAGTTAATAGACATAATTACAAGTTTTGAGTCGTTATATGCAAGCGTAGTTAAGCTAATAACAATAAAGGTTTGATGTAGTTATTTAAAGACGTGGTTAGGCTAGGTTAATCGCAATACAAGTTTTGAGTAGTTATTTACAAGCGCATTTAGATTTACATACAATGTACAACATAATTTATCCAGGTGTTTTCAAGGTACTAATGCAAGGAAAGTTAATAGTGGTTGTGTATACTCTGCGTACATATTAAAACCAGTTCTCTCTGGGCGGAATGTGTACACCTATGAAATGACTTTCCTTGCATTAGTACCTTTGTTCAGGTTTATAACTATGGTACGGTATTTATTACAATATGATTTGTATGGGCCCTTAAATTTGGCTTATTGGGTTTGCTTGTCAGTCCGTTTGTCTGTGTCTAATGAAGGTCTTAACAAGGATGAACAGATCGGGCCCAAATTGTGACTATTTAAATGACCGCAATGGGTTTATGAACGGTCAATTTTGAACAATTATGGACGATAAAAAGCATACATATGTAAATCAAAATGTGCATGCTCTCTAACTAGCTAAGCTCGATTAGGATTTCGCCATATACTCCTTTATAACTTAAGCAGAAAACAATCGTGTTGCAATTTTAAAATTTGCTTGTCCAGGGCAACAAGTATATGAGTTAGTAAAGTGAACCTTAAATTTTCAAGACTGGGTCAGCTTTGAAGTGTCACATCGCCAAAAACTGACTCAGACTTTATTCCTAGACATGCACATTTTAAAACTTTAATTTAATTGTTTTTTAAAACCTTAGTTTTTAAGAAGCAATTGGCAACTCTCATATAGCTTCAAGAGCTTCAAGTTTTGGCTCATTGTGCAGTGTGCAGTTAAAAAACCAGAATGTATTCGGGTTCTTTTATTCGAAATTAATCCCGGTTTGGTCTTTAAAATTTTAGAGTGGTCCTTTTCTACTTTTTCATTTAAAATGCCGAAAACAAATAAAAAACAGAAAATGCGAAAAATTTATGATCAATTGTTCAAATTGTGACCGAGAGTAAACGCGTTTGTGGGATCCGTTCTTTTGTTATAAACCTAACACTTCTATATGGAAAAGGATTATAAATAGTAAAATTGTAAAAAAACTATAGAAATTACAAAAAAATTTCTTTGATATTTATAAAAGGCAAAGAAATTAACATTTTGGAATATTTAGTTTTAATCTATCACTCTATATTATGCCGATTCCATTAGCGCCTGATCCAATCAGGGTTCAGCCATGTGTTTGGTGTCTATTCTGAACCAATATAAATTGCATGGCGGTAACATCTATCTTTCTATCTAGCTCATTATCCAATTAGAGATAAATCCTTATATCGGCGTTATAACAGTAGATGGAAATATTTAGTATTAATCTATCACTCTATAGTATGCCGATTCCATTAGCGCCTGATCCAATCAGGGTTCAGTCATGTGTTTGGTGTCTATTCTGAACCAATAGAAATTGCATGGCGGTAACATCTATCTTTCTATCTAGCTCATTATCCAATTAGAGATAAATCCTTATATCGGCGTTATAACAGTAGATGAAAATATTTACTTCTACTGAAACTATGGTGCTATAAATCCTTTAAAAGAGGAGACAAATTTTATGCTTCCTGAATTGTAAAAAGTGCTTCACAAAAGAAAATATTCCTACGATCTTGTTTCATGAAATGCGTAATCTGTAATGCTTGCACACAGTAAATATTGGGACCAATATTTAGGAGATTATAAAAGTTTGTTTTAAATCACGGCTATCAAGGGATTATAAACGTTTTTAATTTACAAATACTCTCTATTTACAGAGGCGCATGTCCAATTCACAACGCGCGGTATCCCTGAAAGCTTTGAATAAAAGAATGCTTGAGATATCCATATCTTTTGAAATTAAATTCGTTTGTATTAATCAATCTTCAATATTATATCATGGTGTTTTTTATATAAATTTTTTTTTCATACCTCCCCCCCCCTCTCCTCATGTCGGAGTTATCTGAACCATTTGTGAAAATAAAAGGTTGGATAGGATTGCCTGCAGATTGCTAGCTCGACCCAAATTTATCTAATTTCCCCTACATTGGTTCTCTCTATTCCAGTCCCAAGGGATCATGCAGTCTCACGTGCTCAATACAACCAATCACAGGCCAGCACTTACAATTCGGACCAATCGCAAACCTTCTAGCTTCATTTGACCAATCAGAGCGAAGAGAAACGAAAATCGTCCAATCAGAGATCATCGTTTAATTAAAGGCGGGCACAAATTTAGGTAAATGGTTAAGAGAATAACAACAATTTAGACCTTTTATTTCTTTAGGGGTTTCAGAGGAAACTCAAAATTCTTGTAAACTCAATTTTTCCATAAACCAAAATCTCGTTTTTAAAGATAAAGTCAAAAAATATTAAATCGCCCCTCAATAATTTGATGGTAAATCGTTGATGGTAAAAGCCGCTTAAACTTCTAGTGGAGTAGATTGTGTCGCGTTTAGTTTTAAAACGTCGTCTAACCTCACCACGTCAGCAAGCAAGTCTGAGAAGATAAAAGATATAATTAAAAATATAATTACAAGTGAAAATGTCGGATTCGGACGAGGAAAGTCGCGAAAATTCTTTTATCAAGGCAAGTTTTTCGGAAATATTTATATTTTCTAAAATCTTGAACCCAAATTTTCTATAATAAAAATATAATAATCTGGGGGCCGGTGGTAATATCCTAGAGAACGATTTTTGGACCCAATCTCCGGCCCCCTGCAA